TCACCTCCAAGCGTGCAGTGCAGCCGAAGCGGACAGTTGCCAATGCAGCTGAAGAGGCAGCAGCGGCAGCAGCAACAGTCGCAGCAGCAGCAACAGCATAAGAAGCTGCTCAAGCCAATGACCGCAAGTAACTTACATTTGAAAAATGTGTGCAAAAGCACAGCGAAAGGAGCCACACACACACACAGAAAGAGTGCAAGAGAGAGAGGGAGAGAGGGCAGCTGCCTCTCGCAGCTTGCGATGCATTTTGCAGAACATAACAGTATCTGAACGGTAGCTGCGCCGCCTCGACGTCGCGGTTCTTTAGCCAATAGCAACAGCAACTGCAACTGCAACTGCCACAACAATTCTGCAATGTTTGCCATTTGGCAAAGATGAAACCGGTCTAAGAAATATTTCCAAGAAAATTATTGAGGGAAAGGCGCAATGCGCTGTGCTGGCGAAAAATCTGTTTTCTTACTGCTTGTTGTTGGTGTTGTAGTTGAGGCTAAAGTTCTCATCAACATTCTCCCATTTTCCTCTTAATCATTGCAAAAGGCATTTCAATTCAACAGTCAATTAACGGCATTTAGTTAGGGCTCAGGGTCAAAGGAATTGCCATGAAATCAATTAAAGATTTAATTAAGTTTAAATAGCTATTAAACAGCCAAACAAATGCGTTTAGCTGTTATTTTGATCAGCTAATTCTATGTGGCAAAAGGCCAGATCTAATTGTGAATTTAGATTGATATTGCTTGGGATTTACTTTATGTCTTGAAATATCTTTTATTTTAGATTTGCCTTTCTTTATTGCATAGTAAAGCCAGATAAAATTGAGAATTTATAATTAATTGGCTATTTTATATATATTGACTTTTATTACTCCTCTTAGAGTTTGATTTTCTACAGCAATTGCAATCCCTATAATTTTATTTATCTATTATCTATTTTCAAGTTATCTATTGTTTGATAAATCTTTATTCTACTATTCTTAAATCTCTGCATAGGAATCATCTTGGACTCGATTAATGCCACACACATTCCATGCCACATAATTGACCACAAAATTGTTTGCGCCATGTTATTTAATGCAATGTGAACTTGCCACTTCTTCTTCTTCTTCTTCTTTGGTTTGCCTTCTTTTTTGGGGTTGCCTTGTGGCAGGCACAAATTGTGAGCTGTGCAACAAATTGAAAATTACCGTCAAATATTTCTCAAAGCAACTCAATAAGCCCGCGTTGCACGTTGCCAAACACAGCGCCATTATAAACCAAAACAGTAAAAGAATAAATTCTAGCCACAAACTACAGTCAAGAGGCAGCAAAAAAAGTAGACAAAAAAAAAACAACAACGTTGCACAAAATAGGCAAAAGAACAAAAAAAGAATATATATAAAAAAAATATTCCCAGTGACCTAATTCTGCGCTCAGTTGCAGCAATCGCAGTTATTGTTGTTGCTGTTGTTGTTTTTGTTGCTGTTGTTGCTGTCATCGCCATCGTAGCTGTTGTTAGAGTTAGTTGGCCTTTTTATACACTAACAGAGTTGGAGCCACAGCAACTAGACGACAACTCTGTGAAGCATGAGGAGCTATGAGAGAGAGAGAGAGAGAGAGAGAGAGAGAGAGAGAGAGAGCTATGTGTGTGAAAGAGGAATAGACAGACTATTAGAGAGAACGAGAGAGAGGTATTTTTGATATATAAGAATATTTCGAGAATAAAATATATTAATATGAGCTTTAAATAATGAATATATAATATTTTAGTTCCTAAGCTTGAGATAAAAACTAAGAATTTTATAATATCAACTTATATACAAAAAGTTCAGCTTCTTATATATTTCTAGAGTAAGATTATCTCTGCTATTAATACGCATATATAAAATCAATTTTAAATTTAAATTCCAAGCGCTTGATTCTTCCATATAATTACAGATACATATATACCAAAATATTTCGTTCTCTTTCTTTTCACAAACGATTTCTCATTCAGTTTTCATATAAGATATCCACAATTTACTCAAATTTTCATTGCTAAGCAGTTTCTTAGGGCATCCACTAGTTACTTTTGGCAGTTTGATTTTCTCATTCTTGTTTTTTTTTCAGCTTGCTGTCCCGGAAGTTCTATGCGCATGCGCATAGAGCGAGTCGCAGTTGCAGTCGAGGAACTGAGCTGGCAAATAACTGAAATTATATTTCTGCTGGCAGCATTAGAAAAGGCCATGGCTAAAAAGAAATTGCCGAGTACACAGTGATCGCTGGGTTCGATTGCATTGCACACAGCGACCACAGAGAGAAAGAGAGAGAGAGAGGTAGAGAGAGAGGGAGAGTTGAGTAGAACTTTTGCAATTGGAACGTTCGCCCAGCGGTCATTGGGCCGATTGGTCGACTCGCCACTTTTCTTTTGGCTAAAAAACCAATTTCCTTTCAGGCCAGATATGAAAATTACATATGAACTGCAACGTTGCAGCAAAAAAAAAAAAACAACAACAACTGAATCTACTGCAGTTGGCAACGCAGCTTAGCTAGTCAAAGTCGAAGCGCCCCCGCCTCGCGCTTGACTTGGCCGCTTTTGTATGCTGTAACAGGAGCGTAATAAACACTCGCCTAACGGTGCTTTTGCAGCAGGCCAGAGAGTGCACCGCTGTGTGTGTATGTGTGTGTGTGTGCGACAGCAATAACATGCAACAGCCCAGCCAGCCGAGCCAGAGAACTAACTTTTGCAGTAAGTGAAATGCTGAAGTGCATTATAACCGTACATTTTGCTCACACACACATACACACAAACGGGTAGAGATTTTCGCATTGCAATTTTCCACATTTCTTTTTTGCTTTTAACGTGGCTCAAATTCTATTGTATGGAGAGACAACAAAATTTAGTGCCTGCGCCAGGTGGCAAGCCATCGCAATGGCTATTGATTGAGCTGATTTACAATTTCATTGGTTTTCTGATTGATATGAATTATTTATGGGGAAGGTTGGTTAATGTTAAAAATAAAATATATGAATAAAAATATATATTTTCTTGTGGAAGTGAAACTCAAAATTATAAGCCAAAGTCTCATTTTATTTCCTGTTTTCTATTTTGAGGTATGTAAATAAAAACATCAAATTATTTTATATATTTTTTGTATAATTCTGTTTCATTATAGAACTAATGAAAATGAAGGAGACTTGGAGGCATTTTTGAGATTTTTGTTGTTTGCATTGTTCAAATACATTCTTTATATTCTATTGTTTATAAAACAAGTATTAAGACAAAGTTCTTTCAAAAGAAACTAGAAAGTCATTAGCTTTTTAATACAAATTTATTCGAAAATAAGTTAAACAATTTCCCTAAGAATTTAAGAAAGAATATAAAAATATAAAACAAAGCTAAAAGGCACAAAACAAGTCAAGCAAAAATTATATATATGCATATGTATGATTCGCAGAATTCTTAAGTAGGCTTAAATATAGCAATCTTAAATTCAAATTTAAATCAGACATTTGTGTATCAAAGGAAACTTAAAATAGAGTTCTAGCAGCAGCTCGAAATACAGCTCCAACTAGGGTCCAATCACCTGGCACTCTTACTAAAACCAACATTTGTTTTAATACATACTCAAAACTACTTTATCTTCATCTTCTTTCATAAGTAGGTAAATTTATGAATTGCGTATTCCTCTAATCCCCCCAAAACACTTTACATAGAATTCATTTAGACAAGTTCTTGCTGGTTCTAGACAACTTTTGAAATGGTCTATTCATTAGATGCTGCCACAATATTGCGAATAGACTCGTTGAATTTATTTTGGCCTCAAGAGAAAGCAGTTTTTTTTTCTATTGCAGCAACAACTGTAACTGCAACACACACAGACGCACACTCATACACACACTAACACACGCTCGATCGCTGCGCATGCGCAACTCGGGTTTTTTTGCAGCGCGTCTAGAATGCAATTTCTGTTTCTCTAGCGAAACGTTTGCCTGTCTATGTGTCTGTCTGTGTATGTGTGTGTGTTTGAACTTTGAAAAGTGGGTGAATGTACAGTAATGTTTGCTGCATGCTGAATGCAGCGCTAACGTTGAGGCTTCTTGTTGCTTCGGCTGCTGCTGCTGCAGTTGCAGTTGCAAAAAAAAAAAAAAAAAAAAAAAAAAAAAAAAAAAGAGTAAAAAAAAAAAAAAAATAAAAAAAAAAAAAAAAAAAAAAAAAAAAAAACGTGGCAAATTCGTGATGCACAAAGCGCTGGCGGCTCATAGAATTGGGCAGCATCGAGCCTTTCAGACTTTAGAATGCATTCGTTAAGGTCCCACAATGGAGCTGTAATCAAAAGTAACAGTAAATGTTTTAGAGTACTTGAAACAGCAAATGAAACATCAAAGCTCACGCGAAAGCTCGCATGTTTTCAAGCTCGCTTATCTGTGTTTTAGCTTGTTGCATTGAAGGCCACGCCGTTTCATAAATTGGCACACTTATGCAAAGTCAACGACTCACGCACACACACGCACACACACACACATGAAAATAGTGGCTAGTCAAAGTCAACGTCGACGTCGAAGTCAGCGTCGTCGTTGTCGTTGCGTTGTCTGGCAGGCAGGCAAGCGCTTAACGCGAGGCCGAAGAAAAACAGTTAGCTTGTTTCGCGCGCTGAGCCGAAAGCAAAGCTGCGCTCACCATGGCGCTCAGCTCTATGCTGGTGTTAGTCTATGTGTGTGAGTGTGTGTGTTGCGTTGCATAACTTTCATGCCAACGCAGCCAGCGACGACTTGCCGCAAAGTTCATTCGCCTCGTGCACTCCATTCGCCAGCCTTAGCCTCTCTCTGTCTCCGTCTCTCTTTCTCTTTCACTCTATGCTCTTCACTATTCTGCCTGCTGGCTCTCTGCAGCTAACCGCTTCTTAGGCTTTTTCTTTTTGGCTCCATTTCTGCTGCGCTTTGATTGCTTTTCTCTTTTCAGAGCTCGGCTTTCGTTTGGTTTTCTTTGCCAGAAAATCTTCGTTTTGGGTCTCTTGAAAAGGAATGTTTGCTGTTGTTGGCGACGTTTTTTTGGGTAAATGTGTTTTGTATTTGATCTGTGGCATATGTGTGCGGCAGACAGACATATGCGATATCTGATGTCCGATCTGTGCAGCATTGTTTAAGGTCAGTTCTCTTACCTAACTTTGATTGCATTTCATTTTTTCTGTGTTGGCCGACAAACAGTTTTTTCGGCTACAAGAAAAAGAGTTGCCTCTTTTTTTTTTAATTACTTACTCAGAGTTCGGTGACCGAACAGTTAAGTACCTATGATGCTGCTTGCGTAAAATGTCTTGGAGTATGACTACACTTAGAGGTGAGAAGATCAAACAGTCGTTAAGCGTCAAGTGTTAAGTCTCAAGTGTCAAGACTATAGCGGAAGAGTCCAGGAATTCTGCTCAAATGTTTATTTAGAAGAATTATATATGTATATTATGACTATACTTTAAAGAATGAATCATATCCAAACTATTGCTATATTGCTTATATAAGATTATTATTTAATTATATACTAATAGATATGATTATCTACAGTTAGTATTCGTGATAGCGAAAAGCTGTAAATCTTTTATTTATTTGACTGCATGCAACATTATATTCGATTCCCAAATGAATATTAATATTATTAATACATATTTATTTTTACAGTTCACATTGCACAATTGCAAAATTCTATATTTTTTCAATAGGTTTTCAAAGCGAATGCACGCAAAGTTGCACGAGAAAAACAATTACGAAAGCTCTAAAGGCTTAGAACAAAAATGCATGCAAGTTACACACACAGTCAAGCAAATAAAAGCAAATGCCAACAAAAACAGTGCAAATTGTGACGCCCCAACAATTGAATGCAAGCACACACACATAAGCACTGGCGAATGGGAGAGGGAGAGCAAGAGCGTTAGCGTGAGCGTGAGCGTAAGCACGAGCGAGCGAGCAGCAATGGCCGCGGCAGCGACATTCAACTTGAACTTTTTGCGCACTCGCGCGCTCGCTCACTCGCTCACGTGTGCTCATTGGCTTGCATATAAAATAATCAAGATCAAGTTTCTTCCGGCATTTGTGCACACAAACAAAAACTAGAGCTTTGCGCTGTGAGCTGATGCGGCGCAGCTGTAAAGAGAGCGAGCGCAAGAGAGCGCAGATAAGAGAGCGGCAATGCAGTAGCTTTTGCATAAGTTGAGTATGTCCGAGAGAATGGAAGTGTGCCTGTGTGTGTGTGTGTGTTTGTGAGTGTGCTTTATGGCAAGTGCATTTGTGTGTTTGTCAGTCAATCTGTTATGATGTCACTGCCAGCGTCGCCTGACACTCGGCCCCTTGCACCTACCCCTTCCATCCAACACCGCAACCCTCTTTTGCATGTTTCAATTTTATGCATTTTGGTTGCCGTTGTATTTTTATGGCGATTTTAAAAAACGTTTTCCATTTGCTGCCCAAAACGCAGCTAATTTTCACTCGCGGTGGAAAGCGCGCGTCTTCCTCAACGATGGCAACAAACTATGTGTGCTATATGCAACCGCATAAAAGTGTGCGTGCGTGTGTGTGTGTGCGCGCGATTCTTGGAACCGACGAAAACGTAGCAAAGCCAACAAGTTGCCACAGCAGCAGCAACAACAACAACAAGTGCAACACGGTAGCAACAGCAACAGCAGCAGCGTCATCGTTGCAAGCATTGAACTCGATTTTGTTTTCATTGCCGCTGAATTTCTAAAACGCAGCTAATTAGTCGAGAGTGTTTGAGTTGCTGTGGTTGTTGTTGTTGCTGCTGGTGTTGCCGATGTTGTTGGTGTTGTTGGCTACGCAGTCGTCGCTTCTTTAGCTGTGTTCCACTTTTCTGGCAGTTTTCCACTTTTCCTCAGTGGCCGCAGCAGATTTCACACGCGGCCATGCAATTCATCATAAAAATTATTGTAAACTGCAGTCAATTGGCCTGGCGAACAACAAGAAGATGCAGAGGGCGTGGCAGAGGGGGCTCTTTACTTACTTACTACAGAAAAAAAAAAACTAAAACAAAAACAAAACGAAATGAAAATAAGTTTTTCCAAGTCGCCCAAGCCGCGCCTTGTGTGTGTTTGTTTAAATAAAATGAAAGTTTTAGCGCGCCAATCTTTGACACACATAGAAGGCACTTTGCCAGTCAGTCAGTCAGTCAGTCAATCAGTCAGTTAGTCAGTCAGCCAGTCAGACGTGGAAGCAGACTTTGCTTACCGGCTGGCTGCAACACTTTGCAACGGTCGTTGCCATTTTGATTTTCGTTGTGATTTCATTTTCTAATGCTGTCGCGATATTGTTTTCTACCTGCGCTGGATTTGCTTTTCGTCTGCGCCGTAGATGGCCATATGAAAAGTAAGAAAAGCGCAATAAAATAAAATCACGCATACGCCGCTTATGACGAGGCTCTTAAAAAGTGAAATAGTCAAAGGTGCCCATACTAAATATATGTACGTGAGAGCGAAATGGTAAAAAGTAAAAGAGAGGCAAGCGCCTAGCAGCGAAAGGGAGCGCAAGCTTACGCAGCGCCGGTAGCGGCAGATGATGATGGAAGCAGCGCTTCACTTTTTTCGGGAGTTCAACAAACTTTTCGGGCAACAGCTTAGAAAGAACTTGGGTCAATAAACTGTGGAAGCCACAGTGATCATCTGTTGTTGCTGCTACGGATGATGATGTTGGTAATGGCGCTAGCTGCCGTGGCTATTGTTTGATATGCACGCATATTAAACAACCGACGCAAGAGGTCAATGGCAGAGCCACTCGAAACACCTATGAATGTTAAAAGGGGCATTGTAATGGAAGCTTGAGGAAGAATGCCCCCATAGCGACTTCCACTCAACAATACAATCTATTTACACATGTATATTTATTGAAGCTTCAAAGAATCTATCTTGCAAAGGTTTTAAGCTTGAATTTGTTTACTTTGGCATTTGTATTCAGCAATTATTGATTTTTTTGTATAAATCACTGTTCGCATGCATTCAAAATGAACGGTCTGCTAGAAATAGCAGCGCCATCTAGGTTATATATGTGCAAACAACTGCTTCAACAACATCGATAAATTGAGTAAAGTACATGCTCGTTATCGACAAGCCGCCACAGTTCTGAGTAACTCTTCGTAGAATCGATATACACAGCTAGCTGAAAACACATATCGCGTAGAAAAAATATAAACAAAACGCTTCTAAACAAACAAAAAAATGAGTTCTCCGACGAGTAAACATATTAGCGAAACAAACAACAATGGCAACAAAGCAAAAAAGTCAGCTAAAACTAATTCCAATGCCAAGGGCGGCACCATGGATACGCGTGGGGAGTTGGCAGACCTCATCAAGAAGAAAGCTGAGACTTCGGTAGCTAACATATAAACAAACAAACATTCTAAGAAATACAACTACAGACTGTACGTCTACTAATCCACAGGAACAATTGGCCAATCTAGAGCGTCAGATTTATGCGTTCGAGGGCTCTTACCTAGAGGACACACAATTGTGCGGCAACATTATACGCGGCTGGGAGCGCTACCTCACCTCTAACAAGGCCACAAACTCGAAGGCCGACAAACGCAATCGTAAATTCAAAGACGCTGAGCGATTGTTCTCGAAATCTAGCATTACCTCAATGGCGATATGCAATCGTACGTAAAATGGAATACATTAATGTAAATTGTAATCATAATTTTTTGTAGCCGAGCGTGCAAGCGAATCGGATTCCATAACGAACGAAGACTCCAGCGATAATCAGATCTCAATCAACCAAAATACAACGACCGCACACGATGGAGCTACATCAATTAAATCGCAGGATGAAAAGGGTAAGGCCTGGGAAGAAGACGTATGCGATATCAATGTGATCGATTAATCCAAGTTAAAATAGATGAAGATCGTTGGCGTGCTGTGATATATCTAAATATCAAATATCAAGAAACCTATAGAACTATAAGTTAACTTAAGAAGTAAAACAAAAGGTTTTGCATGAAATTCAATATTCCAATTATATTTAAGTAATTTAATTCACATTTTGCACATTTGCAGACTCACCACATCGAAACGATTCGGTTAGCGTTGCAGGCGCTGCTAGCAACAAAGACCCCGGCACACCCACCTCCAACACAAAAAGTAAATTAAGCTCCAGCTCGAGTGCGACGGCCAAGAAGAGTGGACACATCAACAAGAAAATACGGCATCGATAATAGGATTCGTCCCTAATCTCTAGGAATGTTAATCGTTTATGGAGTTAATCGTGTTTTTAACGTTGCACTTGTTAAAGAATTAATGTAATGATTTAACAATTGCTCTTTTTATTACAAAAATATTAATATGCATTAAATTTAGGCTACATATAAGCACATGTTTATGCAATTCGAAGTAAAATTAACTTTATATAATACAGGCAACAAAAATTAACGTCTTATTATTTCTTCACTTTGGCCATTCGATCAAAGATTCCCAACAGTTTGCCTCGTGTCATTTCCTTGGATTCGCGCAGGCCCAGTTGATAGATCTCATCATGCATTGACTTAATCTTCTCTATCAACTGATCGGGTGTTAGACTAGCCAGCTCTGTAAGGTATAAAGAGATAAAATAGGTGATCGAGCGATAAGAGTCTCCAGCTCAACTTACGAGTGATCCTCGCCCTGTCTGCACTGGTCAAGTTTTGTGTGTATTCAGAGCTCGGAGTGTGTATTGGTGTTTGGCTCATGGTCATAAATTCATCCATGCCCGGAAAACGCGCAGGCCACTGCACTGGTGATTCTCTGAGCGTTTCCATGGATATGAGCTCATCCTCTTTGGCGGTCAGCCCTTTGTTGCTGGAACTGGCCATCGTGTCATCTACGTTGTCTGTATCTGTGTCCGTCTTTAGGAGAGTCTCTGGGGAAAACAATTCAATACCCAGCTCAATATTACTCATTATTGAACTGATTTAATGTAATAATATTAAATTCAGTTAAACAAGTTGAATAAATTAATTAAAAAGGCGTTTGTATTTATTAACCCGAGCAATGTGACCGCATATCACTAAGTCGTGGAGTTTTCTGTTAAATTCTGGTTCACAATTTAGTTCAATAAGACCAGTTCAGCATCAAAATAAATCGATATTTTCAAATATGTTTATCTGAATTGTTATTTATTTCAATATTTAAAAGACAATGTAATTTATAATAGTTTTATAAATTATTCATTTCATCAATGATGTAAAATTTCATATGTATTAATACATGTCCAAATCCGGTCAAACAATTTGAATAATTCCAATAACTTCACGATTATCGTCCTATCGATTCACATTCAGAATCCGAAAGATTTACCAACACTACTGAATCGAAGCTATCACAAATATTTCATTTTAATTCTTCCGTTTTTGTTTAACAAAATATACCCTGGAAAGGAACGTCGACTGGCCAGCAGCAGACCCAGCATTAGAACGACCACAAAATTAAGTTCAGTCATGGGCACGTCACCGGTCTTTCTAATTTGTTTATGTCTGCTCTCCAGTATCTGCTACGTGTCGGTGTCGGCCGACGAGCACAATCATAAGGTATGCTTGTATTTGTATTTGTGTCTGTGACTGCATGCATCTGTAGTATATGTACTTATACTTATGTATATATATAATGCAACGTACCTTTGCAGTATAATGACAGAGAAGAAGTTGTACTATGGATGAACACGGTCGGCCCCTATCACAATCGCCAGGAGACGTATGCGTATTTCTCGCTGCCCTTCTGCAGTGGTGCCAAGTCGAGTATATCTCATTACCATGAAACTCTAAGCGAGGCTCTGCAGGGAGTTGAGCTGGAGTTTAGCGGCTACGAAATGGAGTTCAAAACAGATGTTCCACGTACGGTCATTTGCATGGTTAAGCTAACCGAAGAGAATGTCAAAGCATTTAAATATGCCGTAATGAATGAATACTGGTATCAGATGTATATCGATGGCTTGCCCATATGGGGAAAGGTGGGCGAACGTGATGAAAACGATGGCAAATATTATATACACACGCACAAGAAATTCGATATTGGCTACAATGGCCAGCAAATCGTGGACATCACGCTGACAACGGAAATGCGGGAAGAACTGAAGACAGATGCTAAAATCAAGTTCTCCTATGAGGTCAATTGGAAGCCCAGCAAAATTGAGTTCAAAAATCGCTTCGATAAGTATCTGGATCCAAACTTTTTCCAGCACAGGGTAATTAATATAGCTACGCCGCTTATTAAGTTATTAATTTTATATTTTATTTGTGCATAGATACATTGGTTTAGCATCTTCAATAGCTTCATGATGGTCATATTCTTGGTGGGCCTGGTTTCCATGATATTGATGCGCACACTGCGAAAGGATTATGCACGGTACAGCAAGGATGAGGAGGTAGATGATATGGAACGTGACTTGGGCGATGAGTATGGCTGGAAACAGGTGCATGGCGATGTCTTCCGGTCGCCACCTCATGCTCTGCTTTTCTCAGCCCTCGTTGGTGCCGGCTATCAGCTGATCTCGGTTGTATTTTGTGTGATAATGTTTGCCATTGTTGGTGAACTGTATACGGAGTAAGTGAACAGCCAAAACACATATTCACCGCAGTCTTTATAATATTTGTTTTGTAGACGTGGCTCGATGCTCTCAACTGCTATTTTTGTTTATGCGGCAACGTCACCTATTAATGGCTATTTTGGTGGCTCGCTTTACGCTCGGCTGGGCGGTCGTTTGTGGATACGTCAGATGCTCGCCTCGGCTTTCACGGTGCCCGTCGCTGTATGTGGCACTGCGTTCTTCATCAACTTTATTGCGATCGGCTATCATGCATCGCGAGCCATACCCTTTGGCACAATGGTGGCAGTCACCTGCATTTGCCTGTTCGTCATTTTGCCACTGACTCTCGTGGGCACAGTGGTGGGCCGCAATTTGGATGGCCAGCCAGATTTCCCCTGTCGCGTCAATGCTGTTCCCAGGCCCATACCAGAGAAGAAATGGTATATGGAACCATTTATTATTGTGCTGCTGGGCGGCGTGTTACCATTTGGTTCCATTTTCATTGAAATGTATGCTTTAACAAAGTCATTTATTGTTGGGAACTCTGATAGCTTAGTCTGTTCTCTTTTGAATCCTTAGGTACTTCATCTTCACCTCATTCTGGGCGTACAAAATCTATTATGTCTATGGCTTCATGTTGCTCGTGTTTACCATTTTGACCGTGGTCACCGTCTGTGTTACCATTGTGTGCACCTATTTTCTGCTGAATGCCGAGGATTATCGGTGGCAGTGGACGAGCTTTATGGCCGCTGGCTCCACGTCGATTTACGTTTACGCATATTCATTTTATTACTTCTTCTTTAAGACCAAGTGAGTATTATAGATTTAAACTGTTATTGTGAACATCTATTATAAATATTCATTTGTTCTCTCTTACAGAATGTTTGGATTGTTCCAGACGGCGTTCTACTTTGGCTACATGGCACTCTTCAGTGGCGCTTTGGGCATCATCTGTGGCACCGTCGGCTATGTCGGCACGAATTTCTTTGTGCGTAAAATCTATTCCAATGTGAAAATAGACTAAAATTGTGCGGCTGTAGATTTCAATCCAAACCATTTACAACTGTATTTATTGAGTAGTCTTTTAGTTGACCCCTGCCTTTTGTATTTATATGCATATATACATACATATATATTCATTTTGCTCTTTATTTTTGTCAATGTTCTTACGAGTTTCTCATATTGGTGTCGATTAAATATGAACGAAGTAACCAAAATCAAAGAAAGCAACGCCAACGATACCAAACCAAGCCGAATTGTCGCCCCTCAATTTATCTATGTACATGTAAATATGTGGCACATATACTATGCATATGTCTATGCAGGTGTATGTGTTGATGCGTGCGTGCGTGAGTGTGTGTGTGTGCAGCATATTGTATTGTAATATCATATATAGATATATGCATACATATGTATATGCCTAGAAACTTATCAAATCTATGCAATTGCAAATGTGACTTCAAATTATTTGCGCCAATTAAGTTTATATATACATTGCAGTAATGTGCTGATTAGCAATAGTCGATAATATTAAATTAATAAATCAACATATAAAACCAAACTATGAACTCAATGTAATTAAACACATATGGCTATCAATCGAGCCTACTTGAGATTTACAATCGAAGTCCCATTATCACAAGATTATCATTTTCTTTTCATTATTTAGAGGATGTCGAAGCTTTATCGGGCAATTAAAGCAATGTCTAAGTGAAGAGCTCGACGAACATGGAAAGTCTAATGGATTGATAAGAAGACTACGCTCTCGCAGCCAATTCAAGTCGACAGCTGCTTCCGCACTCTGCCCCTACCCCTTGCCCTTGGCTGACAATCTGTAAATTGCACTCGAGCACAGCGCCGTGCCTCCTCGTGCTGAATGGGGTCTATGTATACGAAAGTGCTTCCACGCTCGAGATAAACTATGTTCGCATACGCTCTACCTGTAATTGATAAGAAGACACCGATATGTATGTGCATACATATATGTATGTATATTTAGTAGAACATTTATATGCACGACGAAGCGATATGTGCCGTTCGCCTTAATTTATGCTAATGAAAAGTGCGTTTGGGTTTTTCATGTTCCATTTGCCATTAGAATATTCGACGTGTGTGTGTGTGTGTGTGAGTGCGTGTAAATAACGGCGCTCCAAAATTCCTCAGACTTTTGGTAGTAAAATCTTTTATTCCACTTGCTTTTCCTCTAGTGTGGAAAAGTATTCATTCCATATCAGGTTAATTCATAATCAATGGAATCGTTAAAAACCCACCTGGTTCTAAGGCCCATTTTCTTTACCTGTTTCAGCTGCAATAAACTTGGAGACGGCAACCAAACTTTATGTGCTGATTGACACGAAATGAGTGGCATGCCACATCTGCGTATAAAGTTGAAACAATTTGAGGCAGCCAGCATGTGGCACACTTATGTTTTCCAACATAAAAAACAATAAATGTCACTGGCTCGACCCTCAGCATATACATATTCATCTATCTCTACATATATGTCTATCTTTCTCTCTCTGTATGCCACACTGTCTCTTCCCAACTGCTCTCCATTTCTTTTAAGTAAGTTTAAGGTTTATCTGATGCGAGAACAGTTATGGCCAGCAGCCCACCTGGATAATATGCTCGACTCATTTATATATGTACATAAAAAAGAGAGTTAAAATTTCATCGAATATCATTAAAACTAGTTCTAAAATTTTCTTAGTCCTCCTCACCTCAGTTCTTGATATAAATACGTAGGTCTATTTCTTGTCGCAAGTCAGTCAGCGGATGCTGTTGCCATTGATCACATTGAGACAGCATGGAATCGCATAGCCTCATAAGCCTCTTGGTGTTGGGTAAGTTTCAAAGAATAGCTGGATGAGGTGGATTATCTGAATTAATATATTGAATCATCTATAAGGATTTTGCGCCACGATCGGCGCCTCGTTACTGAATTGCAGCTGTCCACCTGGCCCTCGGGGACCGCCTGGTCCGCCAGGACCTATGGGTCCTCCAGGTGTTAGTAGACCTTCCTCTGGCATATGGGGATATCCTCCTCCTGTGCCAGGGCCCTATGGTGGTCCTATGGTCGGTCCAGTTACACCCGTCATGGGTCCTAGGGGCCTCCCTGGACCACCAGGACCACCGGGCTACTGCTTCCCCTGTCCATATAGTCCGTATGGACCTCCATTAGGTCCTGGCGGTGGACCACCATTAGGTCCAGGGTTTGGAGCTGGTGGTGGACCACCATTGGGTCCTGGATTTGGAGCTGGCGGTGGACCACCATTAGGTCCTGGATTTGGATTTGGCGGTGGAACCGGATTCGGTCCCGGATTCGAAATGGGACCCAACGCATACGGGCAGGGCATCTCCACAGCCATCGGTAATCTCATTATCATACCATCTGTTCAGAATGGTAGTGCCCAGCTGTTCAGAATCACACCCGAGGGGCAATTGGTGCGGATAGAGAACTCCAGGAGCGAGCTGAGCGAGATTCTCCCTGCCGATTTCCAAGATCAACTGGCGCAACAAGGTGCAATAGCCACAGCCGACCCAATGTCAGTGATCACACCACCAACTCCCAATGAGCACCCCGAAACAGGAGGATTTGATGAGGCAATGTTTGCAGCTGCAGCTAGAAAGAATGATGAGCGCAAGGAAGCTGTACGAGCCAGCTCCGAAGCCGCCGACTGGCGTCGGGTCCTTCTGGGCGAGACACCCGTAGCTAGCGCAGCCAAAAGTGAGCCAAGCTCCACCAACCAGCTGGAGAGCAGCATGGATAGCTTTCAGCGTGCCTTGGTCGATCTGAGAGACAAGTACTCCTCCCTGATACAGCCGAAGTCGAGTGATCAGCGCTATGCCGCAATTGTCTAGACTATATGACTTATGCCTAAAGACCTCCATTATAATAAATAAGACAAGCACTGATAATTGTTGAGAAAAAACATTCGTTTTACAGTTATGGGAAGATAATTTTAATAGACTGATTTGAAAAACAAAAGAAAGCCAGTATATATTCCAAGACTTTAATTGATTTATTCAACTAATCCGTATAGTTTACTGCAGGTGATTAGATTTGGATTGGTAAAGTTGTTTGCTCAAAAATGCCGCCGTGGGAGACTTGGGAATATTATTTAGTGTCGTGTCACAGTTAATGGCACAACATGTAGACGTCAGAGATCTACACGTGAATATCATATAACTGTCGCTGGAATATATTTATAGGATCGAATATATTTATAACCAAAGCATGTTCAGCTCGAAGCATGCACATATTCACGTGATAGAATTTTTGAGTTATGGAAGGTAACGAAATAATTGTATTTCATATAGTGCTTTCAGATAACCTAATCATGCAATTCCTCATAGGCCACTTCTGACATATTGAATAAATTCAATATCTTGATCTTGACCTTACAGTGACCTCAAAAGAAGGTAGCAAAGTCTTCTAGCTCGATTAGGCTCGATTCACGTTCAAATCGATGAGGTCAGTCATCCTGAGAATCTATAATTACCTGCATTAAAATAGAAGATGTATGCATAAATAATTCCATTATAATGCATGTTAGATATATTAAACACAATTCCAAGTATTTATTCAAATCTCATTAAAATATAATTGGCAAATCATTTCTAACGAAAAACCGCAAAGTGCATCAGCTTCAGCTCATCATATAATCAGCTTTTCGACTATGTGCTGCGTCATGGCCGATAAGTAGAGTTCTTGATTTGGAGATAGTAAAGGCGAGTGGAATTAATACGTAGGTACATATGTATATCAACAACTCAATTTATTTTGCAGATATGTCAAGCCCAAACAAAACAGAATCAGATTTCCATAACCCATTTGATGACGTCCGGAAATTTACCCACAATAATCTCAATATTTCCTACTTAGTGATAAGGCATGCTTGAGAATCGTTTGCTATCGCCGCCAAGGACTGCGACATTTAATTAGAATTAATGGTCAATTGAAGCTGTCAATCAATCACAGGCTGTCTGGCCATCGCCCACGCATGCGGCAAAGGCCAGCATATGTGGAATGGCGTTCTGCTCGTAGACGCCGGTGAAGATGTGGGCCCAGGGACCTGAGGCAAAGACGCCAACATCCTCGCCGCCGTGCGTCTCGGACTCCAGTGGTGCGGTGGCTGGGAACAGCTGGGCCACATCAGCGTTGTCCGCCAGCAAGGACGTGGGATCGACACGCTGGTGCGCCATCACATCGTAGTAGGTCTCGAAGCTCTTGCCATTGGCATAGCTCAGGGCCAGATAGGGCTTGTCGTCGGTGCCGGAGGACTCGGCCTTGCCGAAGATGTCGCTGCCGCGCGGCTGGTAGCCACCCAGGCTGAAGGTGTGCGAGTGATCGGAGGTGACCACGATCAGGGTGTCCTCCTCGCTGGTCATTTTGCGTGCCAGCTTCACGGCCTTCGACAGCTCGGCGGTCTCGTCCAGGGCGATGCGGGCCATCGTATCGTGATGGCTGATATCGATCTTGCCACCCTCCACAAACAGGAAGTAGCCGTTCTCCTCGGTCTGCAGCACCTCAATGGCCTTCTGGGTCATCTCCTCCAGCGTGGGCTCCGTGTTCTCTGGATCGGCCAGCTGCTCCTCATGGTAGTGCAGGTGGCTCTTGGCAAACAGACCCAACAGGCGGTCCGTTGTCGCTGGATCTACCTTGAGCAGCTTCTTGCGATTCTTCACATAGACGTTGCGGTCAGACATGGCCTCGAATTCATCGACCAGATTGCGTCCGTCCGTGCGTCGGCCATTCTTGTAAAACTCGAGATCCATGAAGTTACGTCTGCCGCCGCCAAGCATCACCTTCAGCTTGCTTCCGACCTCGCCGTGAATTAGCTGCACTGCAATGTCGTCCAGATCCTTAGCCAGGTCGCCACACGCCTCCTCCAGCACGGCATTGTTCTCCCACTCCCGATCGGCGGTGTGCGCATAGACGCCCGAGGGCGAGGCGTGGGTCACACGGGTTGTGGTCACCAGGCCGGCGGCTTTGCCCGCATCCATTGCCCATTTGCCCACGGAGAAGACATGATTGGATTTGTCGGCCATGGCCTGGCAGTCGCCACGTTTCACGTTCGCGCTGACTCCAATTGTGCCGTAGTTGGCCTTCACGCCGCACAGATAGGATGTGGAGGTCGATGCCGAGTCGGGCACAATTTTGTCCACACAGTAGGTCTTGGAAAGGCCAGTGAAGGGGAACTTCTCGAAGTAGAGCTTCTTCTCCTCGCCACCCAAGTAGCTCCTGGCCGCCGCCAGAGTGGCCAGACCCATGCCGTCGCCCAGGAAAAGAATTATGTTCTTTGCACGCTTCGTATTCCGCACGAAGTTGAGCTTCTCCAGAATGTGCTCCTTGCTCGCTGAGAGCCAATAGTCCTGTGTATTCTCGGCTTTGCTGCCACGCTCACTCGTCCGTGGATTCGACTGCAGATGGGGATGCATTGCCTCCTCATCATCGTCGTCCACTGGCTGGACGGGCACAGCGCCACCCAAGACACAGGCCGCCAAGTGCAGCAACAGCCAAAGACTCGCGAGGAACTGAATTGTCCGCATTTCGTTCGGGTTCTCAGCAGATACTGTACGCTAAACGGGCTGAGCGGGTGCTTTATAACCACGGTTAGCCGAGACTACTGTTGTGAAGTGATGATACGAGGGGATCGGGCATTTGATTTATTTATGGGCAGCTTTAGTGCAGGTGTCAAAACGGTACTCGAAGCTGTGCGATCGATACTTTAGATTGAGGAAAACCAAAATAACAAATCATATATACTGCTCGCATTATTATATTGACAGAGAGCCACTCGTAGGCTATATAACCAACTCTGCCTCACACTGGCTCAACAGTCTAACGCCAAACGTTGACCGTAACGCGACCTAAGTGCAGCAGAATGGTTAAAGGCTTGGCTAGCTTTTACTTAGCGGGTTGCCTGTTGGCTCTCGCTCTGGTGACGTGTCCAGCCAGAGCAGATCTGTCCGATGAGCAGGAGAATGGTGAGTAGGCGATTTTTAATCAATAAGAATTCCACGCAGTTAGTTGTAAATCATGAAAAGCCCCAATCATATTATTAATTTTAAATTAGCCCCGATAAGACGTATCGCTGATGCCTGTTTTTACTTGATGTTTTTATTTTTAACCCGTCTAGAGCAACATCCACGCATGGCCGCCTCGCGTGACTATGTTGAGTTGGACGAGGAGCGCAATTCACGCTTTTGGGTCAACAAGGCGCAGAGCATTCTGGCCGATAAGCTATCGATCCATAAACAACTCAACGAGAATCGTGCGAAGAACATTATCTTGTTTTTGGGCGACGGCATGTCCGTGCACACGATTGCGGCTACCCGTGCGTTCATGGGCGATAGCAATAAGCAGGTCTACTTCGAGAAGTTCCCCTATGTGGGTCTCTCGAAAACCTATGCAGTGGACGAGCGCACTCCGGACTCGGCCAGCACTGCGACGGCGTACTTGACCGGGGTGAAGGGCAACTACGGCACCATTGGGGTCAATGCCAAAGTGAAGCGGGGCAGCTGCAAGGCGGCTACGGATAAGGCCACGCACACCGAGAGCATTGCACAGTGGGCCCAGGAGGCGGGCAAGTGGGCGGGCGTGGTGACAACGGCTCGTGTCACGCACGCTTCGCCGGCCGGCACCTACGCCCATGTGGCCGACCGTGACTGGGAGCACGATGGCAAGGTCACCTCGGCTGGCTGCAGTGCGGACGACAATGTGGACATTGCGCGCCAGCTGGTGGAGTGGCCAGTGGGTCGGGACTTGCGTGTAGTGCTGGGCGGTGGCCGGGCCTATTTCCGCGACAAGAGCATGAAGGATGAGGAGGGCTTCGCGGGCAAACGCAAGGACGGACGTGACTTAATCAAGGACTGGCAGCAGGATAAGGCGAATCAAGGCGCAGAGGCCAAATATGTTTGGTCGCGGAATGGACTCCACGATGTGGACCTCTCCAGGACCGACTATCTACTGGGTCTCTTCGATGTCAGCCACTGTCCCTACCACACTGAGCGCACGGACGTGGCGCCTTCCCTCAGCGAGATGACGGAGGCGGCCATCAAGCTGCTCAGCCGCAACGAGGAGGGATACTTCCTGTTCGTAGAGGGCGGCCGCATCGACATGGCTCACCATGACACGAAGGCACGCAAAGCTCTCGAGGAAACTGAAGAGTTTGCACGCGCTGTGGAGCTGGCCCGGGACCTCACCTCGGATGAGGACACGCTCATCGTTGTCACCTCCGACCACTCGCACACAATGACCATCAACGGTTATCCGGTGGGTGACCCAGACTCATTCCATTCCATTCCGTTCTCTTTTAATTGCTCTCGTATCATTGCAGTATCGCCGCCAAAACATCCTCTCACTGGCTCCCAATTTGGCGGACGATGAGAAGCCATTCACCATTCTGTCCTATGCCAATGGACCCGGCTTTGTCAACACCTACGATGACCATGGTCGCATGGACTTGTCGAATGCAGACACCGAAGATGCCGACTTCCAGTTCCAGGCTACAGTGCCCCTTAAGTCTGAGACCCATGGCGGCGAGGATGTGGCCGTCTTTGCCTCGGGTCCCCACGAGCACTTCTTCTCCGGCAACTACGAACAGACCACGATACCAGCCCTGATGGCCTACGCGGCCAACATCGGTCCCTTTGCCAAGGACAAGCTAAATAAGTAACTTGAATAAAGCATTCATTGTGATCAGCAGAATATAGAATAAGACTCTAACAAGAGTTCCTATGTATGTGTACTAGGACTTAGTGAAGGGCTTAGAATTTGGTCGGATGTCAGCCGATAACATAGAGATTATCACTAAAGACTCAGAACTGATCTAGAGAGCACAGAGAATGAGAATGTGGGAAGGAAGTTTCTAGACATTTGAAAGTGTAAATATTAGATTACCCATAGATTATACATATGTAG